GTGGTTATGTGGTCACCCGGCGTGAATTTAGAGTGGAGTGCATTCCCCCACCCACCCCACGCCCCCCCGTGGGTTGGGGGGGGGGAAATTCTGGGAGTTGAAGTCCACTCATCTTAAAGTGGCCAAGTTTGGACAACACTGGTTTAAAGGATGATAGAATTTCAGAATGCTGCGAGATCTCCGACAAGCAAGAGTCCACCAGAACACCGGTTCTTCTAGCCCACACAGCCACTGAAAACAAGCAAGCTAACGAAAAACTGCTTTTTCTTGCTGTTAGAATTATAGCTAGTTTTAAATATTTTCATTGTCATATTTGTACGCCGCTTAGAGCCACAAATGGAAATTGGCAACATGCTGAATAAATGGATTAATGAATGTGGGTCCCAATAAGAATAGGAAAAAGCAATTTAGATTGGAGAAGACACTAAAGTTGCTTCCTTAATCCTCAGAGCAACTACCTTTGGCAATCAACTACTGAAAAATTAACAAAATATGGAAAAAAGACCTTGAGAATAGTTCTCCCCACATATCTAATGTAGTTTACATAAGTCACAAGTTGCATATCCAAGTGGAGACCTGAACTTGGTGTTCCTTCATACGATGCTTCCTACATATCTGAATGTAAGTCACCATCCATACCTGTTCAAGTACCATCAACAAAAGATAAATGCTTTCCCTTTTATGTAATATATGATTGGTGCCAGGAAATGCTTCAGTTCTCAACCTGAAATATGTACTTTTAGAGGGGAAGTAAGCTTTGCTGACCATTCCTAAGTGATGTCATGTTGTAGGAAATTGTTGAGGAGCAATAAGACCACATTATTCACATGACAACAGTTCTTTCCCACCTATACTAGTCAACTGTCCATTTCTGGGCTTAATTCAAAATGGTGGCATGTGATTGAAAATTATTATGGGTAAATTCTAGGTTAGTTTGTACCCGGAACATCCCCAGTCAATCCTTGTATCCAGATCAGAGAAAGCACACTGAGAAAGCCTGATGTTCATTTATCAAGCATCAACAAACATCAAAACACCTAACTGGAAAAATAGGATAAAAGGCAAAAAATAAAAAAATAAAAAATAAAAATAAAAAAAGGGGGGGAGAAAAAAGATGTGAACAACTAGAGTTACTTTTGCTGCTTTACTGTTGTTGTTTTTTAAATAAAGCTATAGAACTATTGAGCAGCATGAAACCCAGCAAAGAATTAGATTAATTAACAATAACTTCAATAGTAAAAGCTTTTACAAATCGCTGGAATAAAAAGAAAGAGAAATGAATGCATTTGCAATTCCCTGCTGGAACTCTGTGCAAAGTGCATAGAAATCTCTTGAACATTTGTGACTATGAAGGCATGTGGACAGTATTCCATGTATGTTTACATGCCCACAATGTTGCACAAAAGGATTATAGACAATTCAAAATCTTGCCTGACATGCAGGGTTTATTTTTACTGAACATTAGTTTACACAAAGAAAGAAAGAACTAAGCAAAGAATATACAATATTATGAAGAGAAATACAGAACATTATATCAATAAATAAAAAGTAAAAGGCATCACTAACTTAAAAACCTGGAAGTTGTTCATAATTTCCATTTCTCATACAAATTGACGAAGTTACACCTGCTGCTATTAACATAATGAAAATAACCCACCCAGACTTGATAAAAGTGTGATTCTTCCATCTGAAAGTTCATTAAAATAATGAAGGTCACTAATTTTTTCTAATAAAGCAAATGGAAAAACTGTTTTAATCCACAGATCAAGTGTTACATTTTCAAGAAACGTCCAACTTTGTGCAAAAGTCAGTTTGTTGCCCAAAGTAAGTAGCCAAGCAACTCCTTATTTTGAAGAGAAGTGTTGGATCACATGAACAGATGCAAAGAGCCTAGCTCTGGAATGCATTTGACTCTTTGTTTGGTAATGATACTAATTTCACTAAAAAGTTTACATCAGGAACATGTGACCTTTTTGCATATCCACCACATATGGTAACATGATCCTTTTTGTCTACACCCTTTCCAATATTTGGAAAAATGATTATGCAAGACATATGTTGATCTAGCAGGTGTTAAATGCCACCAGTGTAAGACCTTCAGTTGCAACTCTTGGAGAGAGGCAGAAAGAAGACCTAATTTCCAGAAGAACTGGCATTTTTGGTTCAACTATTAGGTGGCCTAAATCACTGTTCCAGGCCTTCTTTAGATTAAGAGGGAGTTCCTGTCTCATTTTGCAATAACAACATACACATCTCCCGACATGATTCCTTTTGGTTGCGCCAAATAATTTGATATTAAATTCTCAAACATAGTATATGGGCAAATTATGGAATTCCTTACTTCTTCTCCCCTTCCAGGACAGTATTACCCTGGTACCAGAAAAACCAAGATAACTGGCAACCAGTACATTGTTCAATCTCTTCCTTATTATGTGGTATACTATTGTGGTGTAAAAGCCACTTATCCTATGAAAATGATAATTCAATAATTTTAATTGAGCTAATCCCCCCAAAATAAAGCATAACGTGGAGTTATATACCTGTGGTCTAGTACATTTATGGTGTGCTACTAAAACAGCACAAAAATAACACCCCACAAAGTTTGCAGTTGTTTTTCATATGTTTGTACATGATTTCTGAGTGGAAAAATATTTTGAAAAGGATGCCGATGGCGTCTGTTCAAGCTACAAAGCATTCTGCTTTGTCATGGATTTTGAATCTTTAACTGCAAGTGAAGGCCTGCATTTAGCACTTCTAATACCTCATCCTAATAATGTATAAATGACCTTTAGGGAAAGTTTTCTGCATAGCGCTACCTTCTGTGCAAGCTCCATTAAATTCATAAGAGAACACTAGGCTTGACCCTCTACAATGGATTTTCCAGGAATAGCACTGGAAAAATGGAATTGCTATTTTTGGCTCCCCCCTCACCCTCCAAAAAACCTGACAGCCATAATCATGTCCTGAAATGGAGGAGATTAAAAAAGAAAAGAAAAGAAAACCTCAGGATACATCGTCACAGATAGAATTAAATCTTTTTCCAGTGGTTTCTCCTAAAATATGCCACAAGACACCTTGGCAATAGCAGCTTCACAGCATCCCAAACTTTTAATGAACATATTTTATCATTTTCATTACTGTTCCTGATGCTACTGTTCTGTTCAATAATGTGGCAGTTCATTACCAAATGCTGTAATGTGACTTGTAACAAAGAAACAAAGCTGTGGAAACGATGTAAATTGTTTACTCTTGACAAGAGCATTTTTTTTTAAAAGTTCTGTTGAAAGAAATAATTAGGAAGAACACTCATTACTGTTATTTTAGTTTTGCAGAATACAGTATCAGCTCTCGAGGAACAGCCTTTAGGAATTCACCACAAGCTTTAAGGACTGTCCTGGATCTTCATGGCTTTAAAGGATGGATGGATGGATGGATGGATGGATGGATGGATGGATGGATGGATGGATGGATG